CTGGCAGCTCTCCTGCCCTAGCCGGCCACTTTCCTGTGCCTAGTGCGGAGGTCGTGGACAAGGTCCACGATGTCCGCACTAGCCCAGGCAGGTGCTCGCCTCTTGCGGTCCCAGGCAAGCTCCCGGGAGCCGCCAGCCTGGTCTTGGGAAGAGGGGGAGGGCTGGGGGGCAGTGGGTGGCTGGCTCAAGCTGTGCCAGGTGCAGGGTCTGCTGGCTGGGTGCTAGCAGGCTTGCACCTGGCACAGGCACCGTAGCCAGCCCGTGCCCCTTTAAGGAGTCCGGGGCCGGGAGGGGGGCAATAGAGTTTCCCTGGTGTTAGCCAGAGTGGCCACCAGGGAAAGCTGGGGAGGGCTAGCCTCCCACTAGTTCGAATTAAGGGGCAATACACCCCTTAATTCGAACTAGTAAGTTCGAACTAGGCTTAGTCCTCGTACAATGAGGTTTACCTAGTTCGAACTAAGCGCTCCGCTAGTTCAAATTAAGTTCGAACTAGCGGAGCGCTAGTGTAGCGCCTATCAAAGTTAATTCGAACTAACGTCCGTTAGTTCAAATTAACTTTGTAGTGTAGACATACCCTAAGATATCAAAAGTTTTTTTTGTATGAAAAGGAACACATCAATCTTTTTCAAGTATTGAAAAATAACTTAATTGATAGGCAACTTGTATTTCTAGTGTTTAAAACAAAACTAGTGTTTTTTCACATTTTATGTGTTTTAAAACTTTTACGGGAAAATTCGTGGCCAATTTTTGGCTCACTTCATAGACATGTTAAAAATTAAAAAGAAATTCAGTGAAAGTAACTTTTCAACATGACTTTGGTTATTAATTATGTTTTACATTATTGAAAAGATCTTTAAAAATTTAGATATATCTCATTTAAAAAAAAGAGAGTTTGAAAGATACTCAGGAAAAATTGGCTTATTTCTCAACTGTTTTTCACTCTGTTTAATTATTTAAAGCTATGCAAAGTGAATGGGAAAATACTAGCATTCACTCAGTGGCATTTTACACTTTGTGTAGTTTTTACATCTGTAAATGTAAGGAAAAGCAAAATTAGGTCTTTCTTCTGGTGAACTAAGCATTGGGCCCACATTTAAGATGTTGGGTCCCTATGCCCTGTGGAAATGTGGAGGGTCCCCTGCCTTCCTTAAACTAGATAATGATTATTTCCATCTCTTCCCTAATGCATAACAGTGAGGATACACCATTCTTTTTGCCCTGTTCCCCTGTGTCCCCTGGGTGTCTGGCTGATGAGTCTTGCCCACATGCTCAGGGTTTAGCTGATCGCCATATCTGGGGTCGGGAAGGAATTTTCCTCCAGAATAGATTGGCAGAGACCCTGGAGGTTTTTCGCCTTCCTCTGTAGCATG